GGAGGTGATAAAAAGAAGCCAGTAATAAAGACAAGATTTAAAAAAAAAAGAAAGGAAAAGGAAGAGAAAGAAAGAAAAAAAATTAAAGACAAGCCAATAAAAAGAGAAGAGGAAGGAGAGATGGAAGGAAGGAAGGAGTGAAGAAGAGACAGAGGGAGGTAGAAAGACAGGCAGGCAGGCAAATGAAAAAAAAGAAGACAGTAAAAGAAAGGGCACGAGAAACAAAGGAAAGAAAGAAAAGGAAGAACTAAAGATAAGCCAGTAGGAAAAAGAGTATGATAAAAAAGAGAGAGAGAGGAGTTCAAAAAGGAGGAGCCGGTAATATAATCAAGTACAGCTGGGGGGTGGGCAGTGAAGGATTTAAACAGTCAAAACCAAAAGCAAAATAAGAGGATTGATAGGTAGGTACGTAGGTGTGTAGGCAGATAGCTAGAAGAGACTTTAAAGAAGCCAGTAAAGAAGGACAGTACGAAAGATAGAGTTATAATGAGAGAGAAACAAAAGGAAAGGAAGCTTTAAAAGGAGCCAGGAAAAAACAATAAAAGAAGCAGAGAGGGAGAAAGGAAAGAAAGAGAAGAAAGAAGATAAATCAGTAGGAAAAATAGTAAAATAAAGACAGGGAATGTGAGAATGAGATAAAGAATATTGAAATGGATGGATGGATGGATAGGTAGATAGACAGATAGGACTAAAAAGGAGAAGCCAGTAAAAAAGCCAGTACAAAAACGATAGAAATAGAAGGAAAGAGTAAAGTTTAGAGAGGAGCCAATAAAAATGAGTATAAAAAGGAGGGAAGCAGAGAGGAGGGAGGGAGGAGAGACTCCTTTTCCTACTGGCTTCTTGGAGGAGGGAGGAGGAGATGAGAAAGAGAGAGGAGGGAGGGAACTAAGGGAGGGACAGAGGAAATGAGGCAGTCATGCAGACAAAGAAAAGAGAAAGACACCCTGAAAGAAAGGGAACAAGAAAGATATAGAGAATGGAAAGGAAGGAAAGAAGGAAGGACTGAGAGCAAGGGAGGCATAGGAAGGGAGGGATGGAAGAAGGAAGGAAACAAGGAAGGGAAAGAACTGAGAAGGAAAGATAGTGAAAGGGAGTGAAAAAACAAAGGGTATTAAAGAAAACTGAGGAAGAGAGGAAGGACAGGAGACATTTAAAAAGGGTGAGTCAAATAAAGGAATAAAATGAAGAGAATGAGAGAGAGTAGTTTGGAAAGGACAAGCTATTAGGAAATCAATGTACTTGTGGGTAGGGGGTCATTTAAAAGAAAACAAAAAGATAAATAGATCAGACTGGAAAAAGATGTCAGTTAAAAAGACAGCACTAAAAAGATAGAAAACTATAGTAAAAGAAGAGGCAGTAAAAAGAGTAAGAAGTAAGGAAGGAAGATAGGAAAGAAATGGAAAAGAAGGAAGACAGGCAGGCAAAAAAGAAAGTGCAAGGTACTGAGAGAAAGTCATAGAAAGGAAACAAAGGGGGAGAGACAGAGATATATAATTCGGTAAGGAAAAGTGTAATAAAAAGAAAGAACTGAGTAAGAAGGTGAAAAGAAGGAGCTATTAATATAATCCTTTATGTTTGGTAGAGAGAGATATGTTTAAAAAATAGAAAACACTAGAATAAGACAGTAAGATAAAAGATGATTGATAGCTATCTATCTAAGTAGGGAGGTATATACATAAATCGACAGTGAGACAGCTAGAGGAGAGAGAGAAATTTTTTAAAGGAGGAAGCAGTAAGAAACTCCTATAAAATTGTACAGGGTGGGTGGATTTGAAAAGCAGAAGACAGTAAAACAAAGATAGATACGGAGCTATATAGATGATAAATTACATGGATGGCTGGAGAGAGAGAGAGATAGTGAACAGGTTTTAAAAAGAAGCCAGTAAGAAAGAAGATTAAAAAGATAGAATAAGA